TAATTGTAAAAAGAAAATAAAATAAGTAATAATTATATAATATTAATATAAAAAGACTTTACTAATAATAAAATACCTTTATTGTAAATAAGGGAGGAAGAGATAAGATATCTGATTTTATTAGATAAAGGGATCGAATATCTACTATTATTAGAATATAAAAACATATTATATTTAGTTAGTCTTAGATAGATTCTTCCCTCTTTAAACATTTTAATATACTAGTTTTAATACTATTGATTTATTTGCTATTGTTTTATTGTTATTATTGTTATTTCTATTTACGTACGTATTTATTAATACTTTTTTATACAATAGCATTAATAATATTTAAATAAAAAATATATATTATTTAAATTTAAAAAAATATTAATAAATTAATAGATTTTTAACCACTATTATAATAAAATAAAATTATATTTATTATTTATAATATTTAATTTAAAATTTAAATAAATATAATATTTTGTTTGGTGTTTAAATATTAAAAAGTTTATATAGTAATAATTTTTTTTTTTATATAAGTAATATTAAAAAACATTATTATTTTTGGTAAATCCCTTTTAATTTTAGGAAGATCCTATAACTTAATTTTGAATATAAATATAATAAATATAATTACACTTATATTTAATAATATTCTTATAAAAAACTTTTACTTATTAAAAATTAATATTATTTTAACTAAAGGTTTTTTTCTTAAATAAAGTTTTTAACGCCTTTTTTTTTATAATTTATTAGGTTTTTTAGTTGGTTATTTAGTTATAACCAATTAATATAAATAAATATCTTATTCTTATCTTTATATTTTATAAGGTATAATATAAAGGGTATTTAAAAATCTAAATTAAAATTATTAATTTTGGTAATAAAATAAAAATAGTTAATTTCTCTCATTACTACATTTATTTTAGTTTTTTTTATAGGTAAAAAAACTAATTATTTATTGATATTATATTTTCGTTTAGTAGAAGAAATTTTACGATTTGGTATAGTTAATAATTCTTTATTATTAATATCTTTTTTTACGAAATAAAAAAAAGTGTTATATATATTACGTTTATAACGTTAACATATTATTTTATTCTTCTTTCGCTTTTTAATATCCTTTTAATCAATTCTTTAAAAAGTTTTTTTATTTAAAGGCTATCAATTATTTTTAAAATTAGACTTTATTTTATTAATAATTTTAATTTAGTTTTTATTTTTTAAAAATTAAGTTTAGTTTAGATTAAAATAAATTTTTTTGTCATAATTTTATGAGCTTAATTTTAATTATTTTAATATTAAAATAAACCTTTTTTTTATTATTGAAAAATTTAGGTTGGTTAATATATTTTTATAAATTTAACCTACTTTCTAAATTATAATAAGAAATTTTTTATTACTATTAAAAATCTTATTTTATTTAAAATAAATTAATTTAGTAATTTTATTAGGAAAGGTTTTAACAATATAGTTTTAAAACATAATTTTAAATTATTAAACAATTTTATTAAAATCTAAAAGTTTTATAATATATTAAATTATATTATTTAAGTATTTAAATTTGTATATTTTTTTAGAGTTTTTATGCCTTTTTAAAAGGTTTTTAAATTGTTTTTATAAGGTTAATACGTAATTAACCTATTAATTTATAAAATAAAACCGTTTAACTTAATTAAAATATTATTAATATTATAGTTGGATTTTATTTATAAATAATAATCCTATCTAATTAATATAAACATAATTCTTAGGAAAACTTTTTGTATAGATTTTTAAATATAATTTAACTTTTATTTATTAGGTTTAGAATTTAATTAAATCCTTACCGTTATAAATAAATAGTTTATTTAAATATATTAAATTAACAATTGCAGGAATAGATTTAATAAGCCTTTTTAACATTTATAAAAATTGGTTTTTTATATTGTTTAAATGTTAAAATTCCGGATTTTATTTAAATTTATTAAATTTTAAAAATAAAAACCTATAAAATAGTTTTTAAGGTAGGTTTTACAACCTTTAATTATTATTATTATTGCTAAAATTTTCTGAATTATTTCTTAAAACTTTTATTAATATATAAAACAGTTTTAATTTTTATTTATTTCTTTTTAATATAATAAAAGATTTAGCATATATTGTTTTAAACTAAACGCAGGTATTTTTTAATGTTTATTTAATTTGGGTATTTTATAACGTTTATATTAATAATAATTCCTTAATTTTGGTTTTTAAACTAGAATATTTAAATAGAAATATTTTTAATATTATTAATTAATAATTTTAAAATAATTAATTAAAAAAAAATTTTAATATTATTTTTTTTCTAATATTTTATAATATTAAATTTATTAAAATAAATTATTTAAACGCTATTTTTAAAATAAATTTGGTAAGTACGGTTTTTATATAAATTTAAAATTCTTTTAACTATTTACGGAAATATTTATTTATATACGTTAAGTTTATATATTTTTAAGCTAAAAGGTTATTAATTTATTTTTTTTTTAAATGGCCTAAATAGTAATTTTTTTTAACAGATTTTCCTAAAACGCCTACCTAACTTAAAAATTTAAAAAAATTTAATATTATTTACAGGCAGCATTTTTTAATTTAATAATCGTTATTCGTTGCGCTTTATTATTATTTGAGAAGTAAGTAATTATCCCCTAAATCCTTTAAAAAAACACTAAGTTAAATTGTTTAATTTATTAATTAAATTAAATAATCTATTTAGTCAAAATTAAGATATTAACTTAATATATTTATATTATAGTATTATATATTAATTGTATTATTTAATACTATCGGCTAAATTAATTTTAATTATTTTTATGGTTTGTATTTATTAAATTTATAAAAAATTAAAAAAATTTATAGGTTTTTTTTATTTAATTATACAGTTAAATTAACCATTTAAATAAATTGGTAATAATAAAATTAATTGTGTTAATTTTGGATATATTTTATATAATTATTTTGTAATTTTACGATTTATATAAAATAAAAGTATGGTTTTTGTTAAGATATATTAAACCTATAATATTGGTTTAAATTGAGGATAGTTTTAAGATATTAAGTTGGATTAAGAAGCGTTTTTAGTGTTTATTGCGAAGATGTTTGTGGAAAAGGTTAAGGTTTATGGCGAAATTACTTGTGTGTTTACGAGGTATAAGTTCTTTGAGTTCTTTTATTAATTTTTTTTTTGGTTAAGTAAAAGGGGAAGTAATTTTTAAAAGTATTAATTTTAAAATAGGAAAATATTTTGATTCGATATTACTATTAAATAGTAATAGTGGTAATGGTATAATAAATAAAATAAAAAAAGAATTAAAAGTAGAAAAAAGTTTTAAATAATTTTTTTTAAATCTTATTAAAGCTTAAATTAGAGTTTTAATATAAAATAAAATAAGTAATAATCTAAAATATACGTATTATTTTAAAATATTAGGTCTTCTCAAAATAATAAAAAATTATTTATAATAAAAATTATAAGGGGTTTAGAAATAAATTAGGAATATTAATAATTTTTTAAGGTTTTAAGGTTTTTAGTTCTTTTTTTCTTTTTAAAAAGAAAATTTTAATTTATTTATAAATAATTTAAAGTATATATTTTTTGGTTTAGTTAAGTCCTAAATTGTATATTGGTTTTATTTATATAATAAAATTATATATTAGTTTTATTTATATATAATTATATGATTGTATAATATTTTATATCTAATTAATTTTAAAATAATTATTTTGTATTTTTGGTTGGTTGTTAGGGATAATTAATAGTTTTTTGGTATTATTATCTGTGTGACATTCTTGAAGCGAATATTAATTTCCATCGCTGGAGGAGCTTTTCTCGTTGGTCCCATGTGGCTTATCATATTAGTGACGACTACTTACGCCTTGCCGATTATAACAACCGTATTTGTCTTCGTAGGCGGTATTCCTGCAGCACGGGTACTCAATGATAATCTCTCGGTTGTTTCGGTTACGGCGGCATACGCCGCTGTATTGGTTGTTTTTGTAGGTGCGAACGGCTCTTCGACATAGGTGTACTTGGATTGGCAAGGAGACTATGGAATTTAGAAGAGAAACTGCAGGCTAATCATCCCCATATACATCGTCCCCCACAATGGGGACCAGTTATAGAACGTGGCGAGATATATTTCAAAATACCTATATAACCGAAGTTTATATACTTGTCAGAATGCCGCAACTAGATATCTCTTCATAGAGCCCGGAGATGGGCGATTCTTCGAAGTATCGATAAACATCATTAGAGTAAGCATACGCATATCTAGAGACTTTTTCGTAGGTGCCTACCCGGGTTATATGTATTGTGCAAAATGAAAACTAGAAGTTACCTCTTTCGTAACACAAAAACCTAAGGTTTACACTATACCATATTCCTATAATATCAATAGCCAATTACTTATTAAACTGGAGGACTCTTTTTCGGGCTGTTATAATAGCTTGGATTTACTGCTATTACACGGTTAAACACTTCAAACACCTCTATTAATATGTACCTTAGCACCTTGAGCACTTTGAGAAAATACCTTGGAGACCTGGGAAGTAAAAACATCCGTGTTTTTATACAAAAGCAAAAGTACAAACTTGGAAAGACATAAGATATAAGGTACATTTAACAGGAAAGGGCATTAAACGTGCATATATACGAATTTCCCCTTTTGTAGATTGCTTAAAATGATAACTCTTATAAATTTGGGCATAACATCAAGTTAACTCCTTTATCTTCTACTCCTTTTTATAAGGCAGGAAAGAAGTGTATGAGGTAACAAGGCAGCCGAAACCCTATTCCTAGACGCTCATTTTATCTAACAGACAAGTCTACCTAAGGTTATAATGATTTAAGTTATTACCAATTAGGTACATATCACATAGAAAACCTGTTAATCTACCACGTTCGTTTCAACACGTGGATTATCCTCATCATTAGATACACTATGATACAACGTCGACATCTCTTATCGATGTACGTATTAGTGAATGAAACTATGCTACTACCCCCTGAGGTAGGAGGTGTTTTAGTGTGTAAATATTCAATAAAAAGCAGATACTCGGAATCCAAATGAGTCACTCTTATTATAACGTATAACAAAATTCAGATGATAAGCCCCATAGCTACATTGGCATACAAACCGTCCATTCTTTTGGATTTTCATATTAGATCATCATCTTGTGCCATAAACAACACGAACAAGCAGCAGGAACAAAAGTCTGTTCTTTACCTCCTTGGCTCCATAGGACCATATACTGACCTCGACGTCGACCTTCGTTGCAGAATTGAATTTACTTTCGGAACAAAAAAGATACTACCGCATTTGAGTTTTGGCTCGGAATAAACGATGCCTTTCAGATTCCCCGACAATGGCCTTGGGGCTGCAGTTTACCACGAGGACCTTGAAACAGATCTCGAATTTCTTCGCGGGCTATCACCCGAATGCTGTTCCGACCTGACGGAGTTGTCTGTTTGCTTGCATCTGCATGGCGGATACCCAATATCAGCCAAGTGCATCCCTCTTAGTCAAAAACAGATTGCCGACTGGCAAGCTGCTGCCAAACACGTTTTCTCTAATGCAACACTGGGAAAATTGAAGTTAGATCTGGTATGCGATACAGGAGAGGAGGACAGCGAATCTACCTCAGCGATCCTTCAACCCCTGCTAGATTTTGCCGGTGTCCTGGCCGAATGTGAACTTCGATTGCACGACAAGAAAAATAGTCGCATATCCAAGTATGCTGAAGAGGTAGCCCTTCGTGCTAAAGGATTGGATGCGAGTTTACGAAGGCCTTTCCCGTTTATGCAACTACCAACGGAAATTAGGCACGAGATACTAAGATACACAGACCTGGTCGCGCCAAGTAACCAGGTCCAATGGAGTCCAAGCGAAGGCTTTCACATTTGTCGTTGGATCTGCTGCATCCACGATGAATGTGGTTTTTGTCGTAATGGTCGTTGCTCTAAGTGTCAACCGCTGGGCTGCTTGACGCCTGAATATGGTTGGCGTGTGGCCCGGGTCGACTTCTGTCGTCTTGTTTGCAGCGGGTATTCACCGCGCTGTCGGTGTTGGACTCCACCACGATCTCTTATGCTTGTTAATCGTACCATATATCAGGAAGCATGCGACGTCTTCTACACTTATAACCGCATTATCGTATTTCCTATAGTTCTCAATGGCAACCACGTAACTCACTCTTCGTCGGGAAACAATCGACGCCCGCTACGCTTACCGATATCACAATTCATTCTAAGATATAGACAGCCGAGCATCCTCTCTCGTCTGCGTTGTCTCGAGATTGTATTTCCGCCCATCGATCCGGATGCGTACCCAGAGGAACCTCATCCTCTATATTCAGATTGGTCGCATGCTATAGACCTCCTCAGAATCCATGCGAATGTCGCCAACTTGAAAATTAATATTCATATAATGTTTCGTGGGTCTGACAACTGGAGATCTCAGTATTTCGTCAATGAAATGAAACTGGCAAACAACAATACTGAATCTTTATTCAAGATCCATAAACGCCTTTTGGAACCATTGCAGGCATTGCAAGGGATGAAGAGCTTTTACGTTCATCTAGAATGGCCGTGGCATTGGACATTGAAGGCCCGCCAGGCGCCCGGTAGGTGTTTAGGGGAAACTAGACCGTGCGGGTTCTGCAAAAGCTGCCTCGTCGACAAAATAGAAAGCTGGTTGGAGCAGACTGTTATGGGTGATGAATATAATAGTCATGCGATTGGAAAGTCGAAGGAAACACCCAGAAATTGGCTTATTAAGGAATGGAAAACGTTTGTTTTCTGGGATCTTACTCGCGTTTATTAAAGAGCACTCTTATTAAATTAAATTACCTACCTAACCTTAGGTAGGTTAGGTAAGGTACCTAGGTAGGCATCATTATAGTGCTTACGGTGCTTACGGTGGGGATCCTGGATTACTATGTATGTAAGTCACCTAGGTTAACCTAATAGTTAATCTAAAATGACCCCTTTTAAATCCCAGCATCTTCATAGCAACCTTCTCCTTTGATCTTGTATAGAAGATAGCTACATAGGTAGCTACATAATTTCTAACCGCCATGGATCAGCAAGGTAACTTATGTCAAAGGTGTAAACTATTATTTTCAAGAGATGGCTTCTCACAATTACTTTCATCAAATACATTCAGACACTCAAAACTTGCGACTTTCCCCGACCGACCAGATTGCCGGTTCTGTAGTTACCTTTGGAACGAGGATTTCATCGGAGGAGCTATCAATGTGCTCACAACGCGACGCCTACGCGATTTGATTTACCCTGCATCTGGTAAAATAAAACCAGAGAAACAACTTGAACTTGCCGCATGCTGGGTAGTCATTACGCGTCCTATAAGAAACCAATATATTATGGGAATCTCTGGAGCTGTCGTCAGTATGGAACCTCTTACAGTGAAGAATGACTTAATTCAAGTCCAAGGTGTCGACAGAATATTCATAGCCATAGAATCAGACGAAGGACGTACTAAGTGGCAGGCATTCCGGCCATTGTGTCTGGTTGTTTCTAAAGGTACTCTAAACTTCACATCTCGTAGGACTAAATGGCTACAAAATATGCTCTTGGCCAGCTGACTGTAGTTTTTCTTAGATAGTCCATTGGCATCATTTACGAATTTTCGGCCTGTTGAATGGAATGGCCTAACTAGGAGATGGACCGAAGATATTAAATCGATGCTTGAATATTGCCGAACATCGCACCCTCAATGCCAACCGTCTAGCCCATCATCACTTCCATCACGGTTGTTGCGAATTAGGGGAAGTGAGAAGGCCTTTAAAGTACGACTAGTCGATACGAGAAAAGGATTCGGAAATGAATTGTATGTAGCCTTGAGTTACTGCTGGGGAGGCCCGCAGCCACTGGAACTAACAAAAGATAACCTCGGCCTTCTCCTTAACAATGATCTAGACAGCGTTTCCCTCTCGCAGACAATAAAAGACGCAATTTTAGTGACACATTCCTTAGGGTTAAATTACTTATGGATAGATGCATTATGTATCATTCAAAATGACCCTGAGGACAAGAAGAAAGAAATCAGCCAAATGTGTACCATTTACCAAAACTCTTTCGTCACCATCGCCGCTGCTACATCTACCTCCGTTCACGAGAGTTTCCTAAACAATTCGGCAACGTTCAATACACGACATGCCACCTGCACTGTCCCTTTCATTGACAGTTACGAGAAAGGCTATGATCTTAAAAGTCTCAATAGTATCACTATCTCACCTGTACATGCGCATAAGACCGACGTCTTTCCTTTGAATAAGAGGGGTTGGACATTTCAAGAGGCTCTTCTCCCTCTACGACTACTGGTATTCGGAGACCTTGAGCCATTTATCCGATGCCGAACAAAGAATGTGATGAGGAAATCATGGAGCTCCATCGACTACGAGCTTTCTGCTGTGCATCCTCGGCGAATCATTGATAGCATAGCAACTAGGAAAGCTCACGAAGACGGCCTATTCGTGGATACGAAAGGAGGTGACCTCGAAAATATCTGGCGAGAGATCGTGGAGCAGTATACTCTTCGCCAACTTAGTTATTATACGGACAGACCGCTCGCTATCAGTGGTGTGGTAGACTTCCTTTCCAGCACTTTCCGAGATAAATGCCACTTTGGCGTCTGGGAGTCATCACCGATAAGTGGGTTATTGTGGAAGACTATGCCTCTAAAAGAGCGAAAGAGTATCATCGGCCTACCAACTTGGTCCTGGATGTCCATCACGGGACCCGTAGATTTGGATTGTGTTGTTTACTTTGACAAACCGGAAGCGTCAGTTGAGTGGGACACCAATTCCTCGTATAGTCGGCTACTGGTATCATGCCATGTTCTAAAAGGAGAAGATGTATTTCCTAGGATGGGAAATACTGGCCCTAAGATACTGATCGAATGCTGGTCTGATTTTTCCGAAGGTGAGGTTGAATATCACTTCCTGCCAGAAGAGCAGTCGTTATTTCTAGTGCTCGCACGCGAGACAAATGGCCGCTTCTTGGCACTAGTTGCAGCGTGCCAAGGGGACAATGTTTATCATCGGTGTGGGCTGGCCGAGTTGAATATCCCGAGCAATTGGCAGTTAGGGTTACGCGATCAGATTGTTCTAGTGTAATGACAATGCAACTGTTTATGAAATCATGAAATTACGAAATTATGAGAGTGAAGATGGGAGGTTGTTTTGTCCCTTAGAAAAACAAAGCTTCATCCTAGAATTCGTAATCAACACTCAACAAGGATTGTACAGAGCTGTAGTAGCGTTGGTTCTACCTCTGGACGGCTATATAAGCGGGTATGTTGAAACGGGTATTTAAGGGGTCGCTGATAAATATAGCATGGAGCCTCTTAATACTAGTATGCATTCAAATTAAACGTCACTTAATGCTTATTGGTAAAGAAGTTAAGTAATTAAATTATATATATACCTGGTAATTATAATATAGATAATTGGGTGATAAAACTATCCAAAATGGTGGTGGTGTATCACTTGGTAAGGCGTTGTCAGATTATCCACTTAACCAAAAGGTAACTTGTAATGTCATAAATGCCATTGCTTATTATATGCGACAGGTGTAGGTGCTAGGTTAGTGGCAGTACGTTGGTAGAGAGATGGGTGGTAAGGATGTGACAAAAAAGGCTTTGGACTGATAAATAATCTGTGCAATGGTATAAGCTATTAGCGTAAAATCGGAAATGCCAATGGCTTTTATTGGAATAAAACATAGTTCTAATATTCTTCGAACTATAATCTTTAATCACGTCTCGGTGAACCTTGGATATCATTTCTCAAGTCCTGATATCCCACCAAATAATGCAGGTATATGTAACCCTCTGACCTCGATGGAAGGCTATCATGTATGCTTAAAGGATGTGTATCTACCTTATTGGCAGAGTACTTATCATTTCCTGCTCTGAGTGGCTTACTGGCGTAGAAATTGGAGAAACTTCTGTGAGTTGAGTTGTCTGCGGCTGAATCTTTGCCGCCACTTTGGGCATAGCTCGAGCAGTAGACCCAAACTTTGCGTCCAATAGAGCATACTATCTCCCACACGATATTTGCAGACCTATAAAACTTTCTAAAATCTTGTTCTATCATATTCTAACTGCTAAAGTTGCCGAGCCTAAGATACCTAAATGAGGCTTAAATAAGTGGTTCAGGGGATTGCTGCTAGGTACTGTACGAGATATCTCAGCAAAAATGTGTATATAAGCCAGGCTTCTCCTTTCACTCACAAAGAATGTTAGTGAGTCAATGAAATCATCCATACTCATACTACTCATATAGTATATTTCACTGAGAGACACTTGATTAACATGGCAACACACGACAGTGACACGAGGAACACCAATGACGAACGTGAAGATCGAAGTAACCTAGGTACTCCTGCTCGCCAATCTACCAGTGAAGAAGCTTCCAAGGTTTCGTTAACGCGGCAAGCACCAACTGAGCCTATCCCCAAAAGAATTTGGCATACGTATACAAGTTACGCTTTTGGACGGATAGAACATGAGTACGCCCTCGAGCAGAAGAACCAGTGTATCCGGTCTCAATTAGGCAGCACCACAACTACACGTAGCTCGGTAAATTCGTTTATGCATGGTGTTGCTCATACCGTTGGGGTGATACAGCCAAGGTTTACCTTTGATAGATCGGACTTCCCTTACCCTGCTTCGTTTCTAAGCGCAATCAATGAACCAGATAGGTCGCGGCGACAAGGTAATGGAGAGGACATTATGAATGCCGATCCGTCACCTGAACGGAACGATCCGGCACAGGAAGAACGTGGTATTCTTACAACAGTGAATACTAGAAAATCCGCAGAGCACCAATTGTCCAAGTTTAAAAACAGGAAATTAGGCTTCGGTACTCGATGGTTTGGCATTACACGGTGGTCGGAAATCAGATCCCAGACTCCAGTTCAGCCTACCTATATTGTCCTAGGAGTCTTCCCTCGCGGTTATGCCAATCCACGAGAGACGGTCGTGTTTATTGACAGACCGGAACAACTATTCTTGCGCCTTCATTGGGCTGCTTTCCGCTTGCGCGGCTTAACCAGTAGTCTCTTCTCGCTCAGGCATGTGAAGGAGTTCAGATTATATAAAGTATGTATGTTTTGTATTTTCAAGTATAGCGTTAGCCTAACATACTTTGCAGTGTGATTCTCAAAGGGGGATTCACGAATCCATCGACTTAGATAGTTATGGAACCGGCGATTTACGATTACTTTTGGCTACCTATAAGCAGTGGTATGTTACCGACTATATGGCAAAGCAATGGGCGATGTGGATCCACACGGTGTTGAATGAAGGTTCACATAAAGTTCCTAAGGGCTCGTATTCGCTTGAACTGGTGCTGGACTGGTCAGCAAAGAGGATTTCAGTTGTAGTGCTGTTACCTGTGTTGCTAAGCATCGCAATCGACATTTGGCTAAACTCGAAGGACTGGACAGACCTAGCAACTATCCAGACTGCCTGGGGCACTGCATCTTACATCGTGACAGCAGGAGGTCGTAAGTTGTCGCTTCAGTGGGTTGAAATGTTTCAAAAAGCTAACAGATCAGTAACGGCGGCATTGTTGGGTATTCTAAGCAGTATTTCGGATTAATGATTTTAAGGAGATTCTCATGGCCAGCGATATTTCTCTAGATAATCGGTAATATTAGGTCTGTTGAATTATTTACACGCTGTGTATGGATATATTCTACGGCAGGGGATAGACACTTATGGACAAGGAAAGGATTGGGGGTGACAAGATACTAGCTAGTACTCCTATATGCATAGTAAAAAGGGTCATGGTAATTTATCGAGTTAAATTATCATCTATTTAGAAACTGAGCTTTTATATTATAATGCTCCTTGTTCTATCAGGCATGTCTCTAGGGCTCGTAATGATCTTCTCCGGCTCCTGACTTGAAAAACACCTAATTTAAATGATACAATCTAATATTTCCCTTTGACAAGGTCGATTATTAGCCCATGACACCGAGGAAAACCAACTGTCCTCACGGAGTATCGTAAGATGACGAGACCTCTCCATTTCTTATCATTAACTCAACTCATGGCACTTGTTTATTACTAATATTTTTCCCCTTGTAGGTCGGTTCAGTTGTATCCTATGATTCCCTCTGCGATGGGATCGATGGCATGCTGCGACCACAGAGTAACCCTGCGACCAATTATCCCTTCACCTCCAACCTCTATTTTCATAGGATGATTAAGAGGCACTTCTATCGAATGCTCCTGGTCGTCTTGCAATGTCGATTGTGTCCGCGTCAAGCTAAATTTGTAGAGAAAAGGACTTATTATAGCAGACCTCGTGAGATCTCCAGTCTCACTATGCAAGCCTTGTTAGCGTTTTTACTCGCTCCGGGCCAGATGTTTCTGGAGTTTCTAGAGATACGGATGCTTACTGGATACCAACGATACATGAATCCAAATTAGTGAAGCTACTGTTGCCACTGTTTTCGTCGGGTACGAACGTGACATGAGTAGCGACAGAACTTCCTTCCCCACAGTCGTGGAATGTAAGCTGACCTGTCGTCACTGCAGGCATGAATCGAGTGGTTCTTAACGGAAGACTGAGTACGGCGAGGGCACCGCCGCGAGACTGTCTAGAATGGTTGCCACACATTGTTTAGGTATTCCTTGGATGTATTCTTTGAAGAGGACTTTCGTTCAGAGCGAGGACCCGCCTAACTCACTTAGATGGGGATAATAAGAATATGTGATGCTGAAAATAACTTCTGTTTGGGAAAAGAAATTGATTAAAAAATAATAGGATACCAGAGGATATAAAAGTTTAACTATTTAACAAAAGCATTAAGTCTAGAAAAGAACCTAAGGTAAATATATCGTGCCAAGGATTCAGGAGTAAGGACCAGTTCTGTTGGCCCTCAAGGTTCCGTGATGCAGCTACACCAATAGCGGCATTATGTACTATTGTAATCTACATTCGTCACCTTTGATACGGAATATTCCCTATTATGTAACACTAAAAGCAAATAAGAGCAGATTAAATACATTGGCAGAAAAATGAGAGAGTTGTGGTTGTTACAGCTTCCACACGTAAGTTGAGCAAGTTTGCGCTCTTTGAGGCCGTTTTGTGACCCGCTTCCGGGAAACCATCGCACAATCACAAAGTTTAGTGAGTGACCAATCATCGCTAGCTGCTCTTGCCCTTGATAGACGGTGTGCCTGCTACATAGTACACGAATATGAGGTAAAGAAGGCGCAAGAACGTGGGGAAGAAGGAAAGAGGACCTTGATGGTCATTCGGCACCTCCTATTTTGTGTTTGTCATCATTATCACTGCTAAAGAGCTTTTTCATCTTACCTACGGCACATTACTTTGCCCTCCTTACCTTGCCTGCCCTTTTCACTCCTATTTATCAACTATCCACAAATCGATCTACCCGCAATACGGTAGAAGGCACCCGAATTCTTCTGGATCGAACTGCCACCGGTCGCGGATTTCTCTACTTAGCACCAAATTATTCTTCGTATTCTCTACAATATTCTCTGCAACTAGAACTCTCCTAGGGATATCAATCAGCGTACATCTCACAATGGCCTCAAAGACGTACTCCCTTCCCCCGCTCCCGTATGCGTATGATGTAAGTCTTATTATACTAGTAGCCCGGCTGTCCTCTACGCAAACAACACTCCCATATTGACAACATGGCGCACTAGGCTTTGGAGCCCAGCATCTCCAAGCAGATCATGGAACTGCATCACACCAAGCACCACCAGACCTATATCACGAACCTTAACAAGGCCCTTGAGGCATCAACCAAGGCTCAGTCGGAAGGTAAATTGCAGGATGCTGCGGCTCAGCTGTCGGCCATCCGTTTCAACGGTGGCGGTCACATCAACCATTCGTTGTTCTGGGAAAGTCTAGCGCCTTCCTCCTCTCCCGACTCGAAGCTTGATGCCGCCCCTAAGCTCTCCAGTGCTATCAAGGACACCTGGGGTAGCTTCGACAAGTTCAAAGAAGTTTTCGGAACCGCCCTACTGGGCATCCAGGGGAGTGGCTGGGGTGTAAGTACATTTTAGATATTATCTGTCTATTCTTTACTGTCCTCGACGATCATGTTTTTAAACCTATCTTCTTTGGGTTGGTTAAAACGTATCACCACTTACCTGATCTGTTTGATAATGCTCCGAAATGACCATAGCTAACTTTATCTACCTAATGATGTAGTGGCTCGTCAAAGAAGCCGTCACCGGTCAGCTCCGCATTGTGACTCTCGCGAATCAGGAGGCGGTTGTCGTAGGCGACACTCCCCTCCTCGGCGTAGATATGTGGGAGCATGCCTATTATCTTCAGTATCTCAACGGGAAGGCGGCCTACGTCGAGAACATCTGGAAGGTGATCAACTGGAAGACTGCCGAGGCGCGTTACGCTGGAAGTAGAGATGACGCTTTTGAGGTACTCAAGGCCAATATGTAAAGGTAGATAGCTAGATGACGTGAAAAAGATATCTGCCACAGGCAACTAGGTTAAGGAAGCGGGCTTCGTCAGGAAGACGCGCTCTCTGGCATTGAGTAATGGTTTCTGAAGACAATTACGCTCTGATTGTTGCGTTATAACTAAAATAAATTAGGGGATGTGCCGACTACCTAGGTACCTAGGTACTTTCTATTGCAGCTTTTTTAATGACGTAAGGTATTGATAAAGTGAAAATTACGTGAAACTGCATGAGAAATGATTAGTAAGTCACTATGAACTTGGCGTTTATTCCAATAGCTTGACTTTTGAAATAAACGAAAATCGGGCTGACAATTCTTCCCTGCCCCTATGCCAGTACCTAGCTTGTGCTGTCGTGTAACATTAGATCTGTTTAGTGGCACCCACAGAAAGATAGTCGACCCACTGATCTGATTTAGTGCCGGTTTTCCATTTAAAACCGCGGGGATATTTCGTCGCGTTTTTGACGTCTTCACGCGTCAAGCTCTAGACTCGATTCCGAATTCAACGACGATGACGTCGACAAGGTTACCACTGAGTTCTACACCTCTTTCTTCACCTGATTCGTATGCGACAGCTACAGAGTCTCCCCGGAAACCATTGCATGCTGCAACGACAGATATTGGCAGCCCTATCGTCGACGGTAGAGATGTAGCCAACAAATCGTATAGCAAGGCCAGCCAGCTTCCCCCGGAACTTAAGCAGCACTGTCAGATTTACTTGGAGGAGAATTTGTGTATGCTTATTTTCTCTCGAGAATTTGTTGTAGACGGGTTTCACTGATCATAGATTATTCTCTAGACCTAATTACTCTCAACCTTTTAAATAGCCTATTGTCATCCAGTCGCAAAGGTCCAACCGATCCCTATTACTGTCCCCCGCCGAACCAATTATCGCTGCTCAGCACAGCTGTTGTACACCCAAAATTTACAACAAGACCGAGGGAAGAGGGCTGGTCTGAGGTATCTGCCGAGTCCCTTGTCTACCTACAAAGTCTCCTTTCTCGCGTAGGACCTATCAACGGCCGATTTAAGGAGGCCTTCCGCTTCGCGAGCGCCTCGCGAAATGGCACACCAGAGTCCTATTCGGACGATGATCAGGATTATGGCGGCGACGACGATGGTGGCGATGGTACCTATGCACAGATGCGACGTAGACACTATCAAGACGGTCTTTGGCAACGGGGGCATGATTTCTTTCACGTGGTAGGCTGGGCATTCAATTGCAGTGTTCTCTACCCAAACCGATGGCGACACTGGAGACATTGGCTCAAGTTCATGATAGACCTATTAGAGCAAGATCTCATTGAGCGCCATAATCTAGACATCGAAAATGGCCAGTCGGACTGCCCTATGCTTCGGGATTCAATTCTGGCCGGCTATGTTGCCCAACGCTCTGGACGCTCCGCAGGAGGGTTGAAATGGATCATGGAAGCTATATTTGCTGACGGCAGTGTCGCTGCGAGTTCTCGCTTCCAGGAAATCTGGCAAAAGGAACAAAAGGAAAATACCAAAAGCACCGCAAAGAAAAGGAAGCGCGAAACGGTCAATATTGACAAGGGTAATTTTGGAGGCTGGCTGGATGATGAATCGGTATACTCTTCTCAAACGTCTGAACCGCCGACACCGCAGAAACGAAGGGTGAATTCTGGTGATATGGGAGACTCGGATTTCCAAGCGTTAGAGCCAGCTTACATAGAGTCAATTCCTCTACGACAACGTCTCTTCTCTTTAGTAAGATATTTCCTATTCGTAAAACCACGTCGCGGGCTAATGAGTAGAATAGTTATCATATCTCTGCCACTATCTCCCAAGACCTCCGTTGGACCTCTCTGACCTTTATCAGAGGTTCGAAACGACGGTAAAGTCCCTTCCTCTGCCTATTTTTACCGCCTTCGTAAACAACCGGACGTCGGCCCTGAAGCTAGAGTCGAAAATATCAACATTACAAGGTATTCTATTGCTCTTAATGCCCGCCACAGCTCTTTCGCCAGCCAAAGTCGACCGTACCTGGCAAGATTCAGATGGCATTACTGTTGAAATCCTAGAACGTTGTTTTCTCCCTTATCCTGCGAACACCATCGCAGTCGAAGACAACGCGAAGGTATCAGTACTACTTGAAAACGTATTTCAGATATTGTGGTGCGAAGGAGGTGGAGCACTAAGCAACGGCCTTAGGGCAGCAACTGAGAAAGGAATAGCTGCGAGGGAGGCAAAGGTCAAAAGGAAGAAAACATCAGCCCGGGGACGAATGAATACCGAAGACCCGGATGTAGAAGCTCGCCTCGTGTTAAAAATGTCAGGGGAAAGGTTGCACGTACTACTTGATCTTATCGAAGCCGATAGCAATGGTGACAGCGCAATGGAACCGGAGCCTATGGATGAGGATGAGGATAACGAAGGTATGCATATCATTCTCGAAGAGCAATTCTTATATCCTCTTATCGACAAGTACTAATTAAACATGTAGATGATGATATTGATGCAACTTTTATAACAGCCGCCGATAACATGGAGCAGTATGAAAACGAAACTGAAGAAAAGCTATACTGCCTGTGCCAGGACAAGGAGTCTGGTGATATGATCGCCTGCGGCAACCAAAACTGCCCATACGAATGGTTTCACTGGGAATGCGTCGGCCTCAAGTCAAAGCCGAGAGGAAAATGGATGTGTCCTGAGTGTACACGTCCCAAGCGCGGAAAGCGGAAGTAATGTTTGGTTATTGAATTTATAAGACGACTAGAGAAATATGCATATCTCTGGTGTGGAGGGAATTCATATCCTTATTTTATGTGAGCCTAAGCGGTTCTAATAGTAGTATTGGTGTGTCTGTTAATGCGACATAGAATCCATGAGCTGTCTCATTATACTATTTACACGATATTATGATATACATAGGTACATACCATTGCTCACGCAATAATACAAAGCTATACACCATCCGTGGCTTTCTGTAAACTTCTTCTCACCGCTTCTTCGCTGGGGCCGGAGTCCACGCTTCTGGTTGCCAAGTTTCGCCGGGGCCACTGCTCCGTGCGCGTTTCCAGGGATCATCCTTCTGTTGTGTTACTTCGTCGCGCTCATTCCGAGTCGGCGATTCACGAGCCGCGCGCTCCTGAGGTTGTGTCCGACCCGTGTTGAGCGAAGGTACCGGTTGTCCCTTTTTGCGACCCGGCACGTCAGCCAAGCTGGGCTTAGCTTCCCAGCGCGCATCGGCCTCGGCGGCAAGGACTTTAATGCGCTCTTGTCGAACGACGTCACCGGCCTGCTCGTCAAGAGTTGGGGGTTGCTCGCGCTGATACCGAAGCCATTGATGCCAAGAGGGCGGCACTTTGACTTCGCTGTAGTGCGTAGACCGGGGATAATTGACGATGCGCCGGAGCCGGGAGTCCGGGGCGGAGGGATCGCCGCGGACTAAACGGAATTCCCAGTACGTATTGCCTTGAAGGTCGAGGCCTACAATTTAAGGGGAAAAAGATAACACGTAAGTTAATTATTCGAGATAAGAGAGTAATGGTGTTATATGAAAAGGCTAAGTGAAACGACATGATATTATAACTCACCGACGAGAAAGCGCTTTCTCCACGGCAGACGGAGGGCTTTCCACTGATACCAGGCCTTTCGTATAGGACCTATTTGCTTTACGGTTGACATTGGAATATGATTATATTTATAAAGTACCTCATAGTCAAGTAAAATTTGGTAAATTCGGTATCTTTTAGAGGGTTGTATTAAGACGAAGTGTGTACTACGATTCAAAGCTATCAAGCAATGAAGCTATCAACTTATTAGGCCTCAATAATAAAAATCCAAACCGAAAGTCGACGTCAGAATTATTGAAGATGCGATAAGATAAGAAAATATATGCACCGCCACGGACTTTTATTTCCAGGGTTCCATCCATCCATTCATTTGCCAAATACCTATGTACCTCCATATCTCCACGCGCAAGCCCCATCTGTACCTAATGTAAGTCAGACCGAATCAATTAATGCCGATGGGAAACGTCATCCCTGTCGCGCAGCCTATTTCCTACCTACATGTAATTGTGCAATGGCGTTTAGTGGGGCGTGGAGCCCTGCCATCTTCATACTTGTATGTATTCCTCATTAAGACGGCGCAACCGCCATCTTCAACTTCTTATCTTTTAATAGACGCATATTCGCTGATTTGATATTTGTAAAAAATACCAACGCGTCGCAATTCCAATAATTCCCGCATAGCGTTCTAATTACCATCTCTACCTGTCATTTATTCACTCTCACTCCCTTCGTCTATTCGCATACCAATCTCGTCGCTGGTGACGTCGTCTCATCTCATCCCACGTATCCTCCATTCCAACCAGCAATTCCCCGAACTGCAAATCACTATTATTACCTTCAATACATACGAGTCACTTTACTGCGCTCATAGTCACCTCCCATATATAACTAAATAGGTATTAATCTAATCACATTGATTATCAATACCTATAAGTTACACGCAGTGACCATTGCGCTTCAGAACCGCGCGAATAGAATCGCGAGTTAGTATGGCATCAGTAACATCCTTGGACAAGGACTTGCGAAAATTGCGCCTCGAAAAATATACGCCAGCTGCCGCGAACGAGGCACAGTCGTGGATTGAGGGTGTATTAGGTAGCAGACTTCCATCCAACGATCTTCTTGACGGACTTAAGGATGGCGTTGCTCTATGCAAGTATGTTCAAGTATACATACACAGTACTATATCTTCTAGGTTAACTAACGATATATCTTTCTTGTAGACTCATTAATCTGGCTGTCGGTCCTCCTGGTGTTAAATTCAAACAATCCGCTATGCCATTCATCCAGATGGAGAACATCTCTCATTTCCTTCGCGCCTGCCAATCGCCACCCCTGAATTTACAAGATCACGACGTGTTTCTTACCGTCGATTTATACGAGCGGAAAGATCCTGCCCAAGTTCTCCAGTGCCTCGGCGCTTTCTCTCGAGCCGCGCATTTCCTTAACCCCTCTACATTCCTCTCTCCTATTGGATCAAAGGCGAAGGTGTCCGCCACCATGAGCCCGCAGAGCACGGGTCCAACGACCCCGCGTAATAGGAAATTGTCCAACGTCAGCAACAACTCATCTACGTACGGTTCACGGTCCGGTATAACCCCTATGAAAACTGGAGACTCGGGTTCGGGACGCTGGAGTCCTACCAAGAGTCCACCGCCATCGACCGAACGTATAGGATCGCCGTCTGTATCTAGTTGGAGCAAAAGAGACCTCGAAGGAGTTACAAGCCCCGCATGGAACATTGCACAGTACGGCTATATGGGCGGCGCAAGTCAGGGCAACCTAGGTATATCCTTCGGAGGGCGGCGGCAGATTACCAGCGCCAGTCCTCTTGTCCCGAACTTGGCCGATAAGGAGCGCAAGCGCAAAGAGCAGGAGGCCGAGGCCGAGGCCGAACGACAGAGGTTGCAGGCAGATGACGAGGAACGTATTCGTAAGGCTGAGCTAGAAGCTGAAGAGGAACGGGCGCGGTTAGTAGAGGAGCATAGATGGGAGGAAGAGACAAGACGGCTGCGCGCCGAAGAAAAGCGCAAGGCGGAAGAAGAGAAACGTCGGTGGGAAGAGGAAGAGCGCCAATGGAAACTAACAGAGGAGAAGCGAAGGAGGGAAGAAGAAGAAGCCGAAGCAAAATTAGCCGAAGAGCGCCGTCGTGCGAAGGGTCAAAACGATAGCCGATTACAAGGGCAATTTCTTAGTCAATACCAGGCCGAACACGATATCACGCCGCAAAAGAGTGGCGGGGGCGGGTATAGCGATCGCATCAAACAGTTAGAACAAGAACTAGAGTTGGCAAGGAAACGAGAGATGGAATATGAGGAAGAGCGACAAAAGCGGTCACAGAATCGAGCACGATCTCGTAGCCGGCCAAAAAAGGTAGAATGTAGGCCACCCAGTCGCCAAGACTCATGGCGACCTAAAGACGAGCGCGAGTTCCTCAGTACACAGTGGAATCGGCGTCAGCAAGAGCAGCGAGAGCGAGAGCAACAGCAAGAACAACAGCACGACATGGCTCCCCCGCCTCCGCCGCGTCCGCTCCCCGTACCTGGATTGGCTGCACCAATAAAGACCAATCGCACAGGAGAGAAACCACCTGTTCCCATAAAACCTCAAAGAACTGGAGAGGGTAGGCCCCTTCCCATTCCGGACCGGATTAAGAACCAGGCAACCGGTAGCTCGAGCCCAAATCCGTTAGCACGGCCCCTTCCTGTCCCATCCCCGAATTCCAACGGTAATCGTACGGATCGCTTCCTCGCCTCCAATCCGGCGCCTGTTCCGGCTCCTCCGCAGCAAACTTACTCTCGTGAGCTCGACGCCACAGCAGAACGTGATGCGGAGGATAGACGACGGGCCGAATCACAAGCTAAGACGAAGGCAGGCGGCTGGGCAGGCAAGTCGTTACTAGAGCGCGAGATGGAGATGGAAAGGCAAAGGCAGCGCGAATGGGAAGAGTCGCAGCAGGAGACGGCTAAGGCGGTTAGAGCAGGCGATGGTGTAGATGGTATTGGCGGCGGAGTTGGTGGCCGGTGGGACGTTAGTCAGTGGAGCGGATATACTGGCGGCGACAGCCAAAACAATGGATCCGCGGGTATCGGAGCTGGAAGGAGGCAAATCGTTGGGCCTAGGCCGTTACCAAACAGACCCGGGCCATGAACAACTCCCCCGATAGAATCGTGAGGAATTAGTTACCTATCTGTTCCCAGTAGTGTACCTTTAAGGTCATTCAAGGAATAGAGACCCAATAACGACATTACGCAATATATTTCATCAAGTTTGACATTAGAATGTTGTCGGCTTCTCATTTGAGGACGATTATGTAGAGTGGGGAAGTTATGGGTTCGAGTTATATTCAAGTCAGCCTTGGCTTGACGTGAAATATAAAAGAAATTGTGGAAGCAGTAAGCATGCCTCTCTACCTTCGTGTAGATTTATTATAGCGGTAGGAGTATATGTCGAGTTACAGGTTTAATAGATCCTTCATCACATAGGTAGGTACTTAACGTTTTGCACCTGAATCTGTTCGAACCCACATTGCGAGAACAGCCATTTCGCTCTTTTCACTTAGGTATAATCCGAGGGTAAGTAAAAAGGATTTGGTTTTCGCGATGGAGTTCCAGAGATAGGCACTATCCGCGTCGTATGAGGAAGTATGGTTATGGCGTCTAATAGATGATAGACCATATAATTGCTGTAGGAAACTAAAAGAATATCATGCATAAACTTCAATTTTCGTCACTCTACCTGTTCTAATATTATATTACTACCTTATACGGTATTCGCTACTAACTCTTTTCCAACGAGAGGCGACGACTTGAAGGAATTCGCGTCATGAACGTATGATTTCTACATCTTGACACATTCTTGTTGGGAATTACAGCAGGTTGAAAAGCTTAGGTACTCCTCGTGCGTGAATTCGATTAATGGTATGACGCTATGCATAGGATATGTGATCAAGGATATGGCTTAATTACCAACCAACATTATAAAGCAGTATCGAGGAGCCGAGATATGCGGTATCGTCTCACACGAAAGACCTAATATTATCCCCATTATAACCGCACTACCGACTGCGCATCTGTCGTAGTTCTTATATCGCTATCATTCAAGGAGCTTTTGAGCCAACAGTAATTAAGATCCGTCCCTTGCGGTCCAACGTCGTAATAGATAGCCCCCACGCAACGTGTGTTCTTAGCACACAGCGAAACACAGTCCTTCATCGATTCGGACTTGAGGTTCTCAATATCGCGGCCTTGGTGTGCTACGTCGCACTCGATCCTAAACTTCGTTCCAGTGCCCGAGTCTGTATATGTACTTCCGTCGATGCCCAGACAGCTGCGTACTGAGCTTGGAGTAGCTGTAGGTGACGCACTTGTACTAGAGGATGAGGCCGTCGTCGTAGAGGTCGTTGTAGGACTTGGAGAGCCTGTAGACTTGATTTGGTTAGTAGCGCACAGTAGCGGTAGTTGTAATGGCAAAGTCTTTGTTATGACCGATAACTCTGCCATCATACGGGAGAATACTACACGACTTTAACTTACTTGATTTTCACCTGCCACCGGTGACGGTGCTGCCGACCTATCGGAGAGAAGCCTTCATTAGCAATTATCTTGCGTCAAGGATGAAAGCATTAGAATATATTTACTTACGAAGCATTGGTGGCTTGGTTCCTTTGAGTTACTCCAACCGCTGCACCGACAGCCGCTCCCACGAACGCAACTACGAACATACCTATCAAGAGTAACCAGAATACTCTTTTTCGAAGTCCAAGTATGGTAGGAGGTTTAGAGGCGGCAGTAATATTCTGATTTGATTCGGTATTACACCCATTGTGTTCGTCTTTAGTATAATTATCTGGGGTGCTTATAACTGGCGACCCGTAGAAGACCTCTTTTCCTGAAGGGACGTTTCGTGGATCGGGTGAGCCAACTTCAATACCTTCTACTGGAGGATGTATTTCTGGTGCTAAGGGATCGTTGTCAAGAATCTTACTCTCACCACCCATGAGTACGAATCTCTTCTTAGTTCTCTCTGGAATCATTGAGTTCTCTCCACCCTGACCAAGATGGCCTCCTTCAGCACAGTCCCAACATACAGGCGTGCCCCTCCCGTCAAAATAATGAGGACAGACTGCATTTAAGTCGGGTCCGGCAGCGGTATTGTTTGACATGTCCCGTGAGTGTGGTGGTACTGCGTTTACAAACGAGGAAACGCCGAGCTGCGCGCGAGGTGGGAATGAGATGTATACTGCTAGAACCCGGGCCCGTGAAGAAGAAATGTAGCAAATCACCGAGTGCGACTGAAGAAGATGGGTAGGAAAGCTAAAAATAACCGTTTTCTGCTCATTGGGAATTCAATCGAACCAACAATCGGATATAATCTACCCATGCAGTCTAGAGCCATCACAGGGCGCTACTGCTGGATAGATACCATTCGATACTACGCTCGAGGTTCCATCGGGGGGCTAAGGATTCAGCTCAACCCATGGGAATCCATCGCATAATATGCAGCTACCTTTAACTGCAGCCCTATCGTGAAAGGGGAATAGAAAAAGGACAGGGGAAACCCCAATAATGTCAATGGAAATCGAACCTAAGCTCTTTTATCAACCAGATAGGGGTTGAAAGGAAATGCGCCATCAGTATTGGTATCAGTATTGGTGTAAACGCGATTCCGAACTGAGGCCTAGTCTCCGAAGCGTTTGGCCAAATCTAAAGCATTTTGCGATTGTTATGAGAGTATTCAAGACTTAGCGACGGGCCGTACCGTAAGACATGATTTGATAATTGTCCCCCATAACTACCTACCTAGCTATGAACGTAAAATAGACATGATGTCTGAGATTTGCAACTATATTTATAAAGTTGTAAAGTGATACTAATTCCTGATGATTTGGAGTCCACTATTTGAATCGGGGATCTAATTTCGAAGGTCTAGGTTACATTGGAGGTGGCTGCTACTACAATACATAACAGGTACCTACATGTAATTCATGTGGCTGGACATACATAGCTGCATGGCTGAATTCCCTCTCTGCATAAGGGAATTTTGCCCGAGCTGGACGCTATGCCGAAATTAGTATAGCGTATAGGGATCTGATCTGTGTACTGGGATCCGGCTGTGAATAATGGGTGGAGTCTGCCCTGACATGTGGCGTTCATGCTAGTATATACATAGGTATCGTCCGCTTCGGTGATGTCACAAGCGTCAATTTATTATCCACTTATATCGGCATCAACCTTTCAGGATTCTAGCTCATCAAACATTCTCATGTTATCCTACCTAATTTACCTTATCTAGGTACTCTACTAACCTAGGTCATATGGATCTACCTATTTCTATCTACTCCCTATTATCAAACATGGGCTTCATTACTACAAGAATCTCACGAGGAACAAAACCTCGATATTTAACTCCGTGTCTACATCTGCAATCTGCAATCTACGGCCTTGAATAACATTAACTTTGGCTAAAGCTAACGATGAGTCGACATTAACGTCACCGTTAATTGTAATATACCCCCCTATATTTTCTATATAGATGACGACCTAAGAGTAGAGTTCTCCTCAGCACGTCGACCAGATTTCCACCAAACCAAAAACAAATTGGTGATAAATAATACGTGTTCGAATATAACCGGATGAGATTAGGTTTTAGGCTACAGTTATATTCGTAGCATCGTCCACAACGATAGCTAATTGGGTGTGGGCTTCATCTTCAAGGCAACTAATGCGGTTATGCCCCCAATCGAATTAGACAAGCCTTCAACGGCGCCAATAAATGCCGAAGCGTCTGAACAAGACCGACTCCGAATACGCGATGTTCCGCGAGATGGGCACCGCCGGGCTATCGTCCAAGATTCGCAAGGAAATCTTGTATATCCAAGCTACATTCCACCGGATATCGAACTGCCTATCTCGCGCGAGAGAGCCGTATCGGATGGCGTACCAGATCAGTTCAAAAGTGCCAGTCCGATCGAGGGTCCCAAAAAATCTATGTCGGAGCCTGTGAACAAGAAATCTCTCAAGTTAGCACAGTCGTCATCCAGCCCCCAACAAAACCAATATCGGGCTTCACCGTTCTCGGCTTTCCCTCTTATGAAGCGAACGGGAACGAATGTTTCTATGCTTGACATAGCGCTACAACACTCCTATAACGAAAACAAAGATGAAGATACATCAGACTCGTCATCGTCGGAGACAGAAGATGGAGGGAAAGCAACGGAAACGCGTACAGGTCAGTCCTCAGGACAGGCGAAGCGGAGAACATCCCATGACAGATATCGGCGCTTTCGAGTCGCGAATGAATTATATCGAACTAATGGCAAGGTATCCAAGAGAGATGGTCGATTAAACATTACAGTCAATGACACAAGTAATACGGGATATCTCGCAAAGGCGCTTGGTACTGCAGTTAAGAAGGTCCAACCCAGGAAGGCCGAGGAAGGGAAAACTAGCCCTCAGCTAGCCCCCTCACAGTTATCCTCAGCCACCACAGCAACATCGGAGAAATGGAGACGACCAAAACTGAATATAGTGATCATGGTTATTGGCTCCAGGGGTGATGCTCAGCCGTTTTTGAAGATAGGAAAGGTGCTCAAAGAAGAATACGGTCATCGCGTACGTATCGCTACCCATCCAGCCTTTCGCGACTTTATCGAGAAAGATTCGGGCTTGGAATTCTTCTCCGTTGGGGGCGACCCCTCAGAGCTGATGGCCTTTATGGTTAAGAATCCTGGTATGATCCCGACGCTCGAGACAGTGAAAGCTGGCGATATTGGAAAAAGGCGCGCTGCTATGGCCGAGATGTTTGATGGATTTTGGAGAGCTTGCATTAATGCAACCGATAACGAGAAAGGCACTCGCAATATAAAGATGATGGATGAAAATGACCCATTTATCGCAGACGCCATCATTGCGAATCCACCAAGTTTCGCGCATATTCATTGTGCTGAAGCTCTAGGAATTCCCCTGCATCTCATGTTTACTTTTCCTTATACACCTACACAAGCTTTTCCTCATCCTTTAGCAACTATAAAAAAATCCAATGTGGACCCTGGATATACTAATTTTATCTCTTACCCCCTAGTAGAAATGATGGTCTGGCAGGGACTCGGAGACCTCGTTAATGCTTTCAGAGTTAAGACCTTAGGATTGGATCCGGTATCTACACTCTGGGCTCCTGGCGCGACATACCGCCTTCATGTCCCTTTCACATATTTATGGAGTCCGGGATTAGTACCTAAGCCCGACGATTGGGGTGAGGAGATAGACGTGTCTGGTTTCGCCTTCCTCGATCTTGCCTCTTCTTTTAATCCACCAAAGGATCTTCTTGAATTTCTCAAGAATGGTGAGATACCAATCTACATCGGCTTCGGGTCGATCGTAGTTGATGATGCCGAGCGTTTCACAGAGATGATATTCGAAGCTGTGAAACTAGCTGGTGTTCGAGCCTTGGTATCGAAAGGCTGGGGTGGTCTTGGCCAGGTAGACGTTCCCGATAATATCCACATGTTGGAAAATACTCCACACGATTGGCTTTTCCCAAAGGTTCGAGCCTGCGTCATCCACGGCGGTGCTGGAACCACTGCTATCGCACTCAAATGCGGCAAGCCGACCATGATTGTACCTTTCTTTGGCGATCAACACTTTTGGGGTTCAATGGTTAGCAATGCAGGCGCTGGACCGGTCCCGGTTCCGTACAAGAAATTGAATGCCGAGGAGTTAGCAGAAGGCATTAAATTCTGCCTAACGGATGCGGCACTGGAAGCAGTGCAAAAAATATCTAGAGACATCGAACTTGAAGGTGACGGTGCCCAAAACGCGGTGAAGGCATTCCATCGAAACTTAACGCTATCCGGAGAAAATTCAATGCGATGTTCAATTCTTGACGATCGCGTGGCGGTCTGGCGTATTAAGAAAACCAGTATCAAGCTCAGCGCTGTGGCAGCCTACATCGCAGTCACTCGGGGGTTGATAAATTGGCGGAGACTACGTCTCCTTCGACATAAGGAATGGAATGACTTTGAAGGACCGGGCGAGCCTGTTACAGGAGTTGTTGGCTCGATAGTTGGAACAGTTGGCGACGTGTTTAGTGGAATAGGTAGTGTTCCGTATAGACTGGCAAAAACGTCACATAGGAGAGCTGAACGGAGAAGAAAGAAGGAGAGGAAGCGACAGCAAAAACAAGATGCCCTAGCTAAGCGCCCAACCGAATTCCCGTTTCCAATCCAAGGGGGTGGAGGTACTGGGACTGATACGAACGGAAACGGTCGCCTTGAACATGCTTCGACGCATGCAACTACGCCTGCAACAGCTCTTGAGCCTTTTCAAGAGGAGTACCTGAACGAGATAGAAGAAGGAATTGGTAAAACTGGCCGAGCCCTAGCGCATGCACCTGTTGATCTTTCACTCGCACTGGCCCAAGGTTTCCACAATGCTCCCCGTCTGTATGGCGATGATACCGTTAGACGCCCAATCCGGATCACGGGAATACGATCCGGGCTCAAGGCCGCAGGATATGAATTCATATATGGCATCTACGACGGATTCACTGGGCTTGTTCGATTGCCGGTTCGCGGAGCTAAGGAGGATGGAGTCAAGGGCGCACTCGCGGGTGTTGGCATGGGACTTACCGGATTTATATTAAAAGATATAGCGGCACTGGTCGGTCCAATAGGCTATACGCTCAAAGGTATTTCTAAGCAGGCCGATCGCGGAAAGCAGCCTCTTAAATACCTCCGTCGCGCACGAATCATTCAAGCACAGCGGGAGCTTAGTGCCCTAACAGAGTCCGAACGCAAGGCAATAACTAACACAGTTCTTAAAGGCTGGCAGGTTATGCGCCGGTTGGCTGATACAATTATACGGGAGAATGAGAAACGATGGTTCGTACCTCGCTTCAGGACGAAGAGCAAGAGTGCTAGGAATGTTAAGTCGCTAGGAAAATACGGCAAAATTCCAGCATTTGAGAGTGTTGTGGCCGCGGAGAAAGCAATAGAAGCTATCACGCGAGGAGAGGATATCGAAACTGTGCTCAAGAAGCCTAGAGGGCTCCAAGATGGATAAGGAGGCTGGTCAAGAGATTATCGCGAACTTGACAATGACGTACCGGGAGGCTAGAGATACTAATCGATTAAAGAACGCTAGACGGCTAGGGTATAGGAGGGGATAATGCTAAAGGGGTATTACACAACGGCATTCATTTCTATTATCATAGGTCGGACGAATAACTCAGGAGGCTAGGACCTAACACGGGACAAGTAATGAGAGCGAAGTAGAATCGCCTCGTGAGATTCTATTTCACAGAAATAATGCTCTAGCCCTGGAATGTTTATATTTCGATGCTGGTTAGCTTGAGGGCTTTTAAAAGGCATCTATTAATGCGGTTAGTTGCCAAGCAAGTTAAGGATAATATACACGAATAGTAGCCTTCTAGTCGATATAAGATATATAATATTACCTAGTAATATTACCTGGACTATGTGAGGATTCTAGATGAGAGATATATAACAAAGAATATCTTCAGTTAGCTTAGATTTGCTTCTCGTCCCACGTCGTAATACCCCTTTTCGCCTGAGGGGCGGAAAGGTAATATCGACCTCGTTTAATGATTATTTATAATTTACATAAGAGAGGACAGTCTATTCAGCTATGGATATTTTGTTTGGCTACCTATTTAGCTGTTTAAGATACTGTTAGTATGTAGATCTCGGGGCTGTGGTCTTAACGCCGAAATTTTGGGGATGTTTCCATAACGAGTGCGTAATACTGGTAACATATGAGCCTCAATTTTCTTTGACGTAAATAGCAATCTATTACGCAAGTACGAATGATTCGAATCAGTCACTGAGAATCGATAACTGAATACGAATTGTCCTGTTTTTAGTGGTGTCGAAAGAAGGACGATGGTGATAATCTGCCTTGTTACATGTCCACTCTTCCCGGGGTCACTCCAGTCGCCAACAATATAGTATGGCTGTGAATTTCGATGCTTCGTCGGAAAATGAGGCGGGCTTACTCCGTTTCCTTAAAAGCCAGCTATTATTTACACCACCGCTTATTACCCGGGAAGAAGTCGACCTCGCTGGCAAGACAGCTATAGTTACCGGCGCAAATGTGGGCTTAGGGTTAGAATGCGCTCGCCAACTCCTCGATTTGGGGTGCAAGGTAATTCTTGCCGTGCGTAGCGAGGCAAGAGGCGAAGCCGCGCGCCGGCAGCTCGCCCAAGGCTGCGACGCGCAATTAGATGATGTTGAAATTTGGAAATTAGACCTTAACTCATACGATTCTGTCGTGAATTTTGCTGAGCGCGCCAAGACTCTGACAGGGCTTGACATAGCGGCTCTTGACGCTGGCATTTACAAGGTTGAAGATTCTTTTAATAGTATTACGGGCTATGAGGAAGATATCCAGGTAAACTATCTATCAAATGCTCTTCGCACGCTCCTGTTAGTGCCCATCTTGGCAGACAAGAAAACGGGAGATGCCCCTGGACGTATAGTCTTGGTGTCTTCTGGAATAGCGAATGCGACCAAATTTAATGAAAAGGAGTCAAATCCAATACTTCCGGTTTTTAAAAAGAAGATGGAACCGAAGTGGCTGTTTAAAGAGCGGTACGGTACATCCAAAGTGCTTGTCCAGATGTTTGTAGCGGAGTTGGCAAAGCGAGTTCCATCTTCTGCTGTCGTCGTCACCGTTGCCAGCCCTGGCTTTTGTCACAAATCGGAAATCATACGTGACGGAGAGGGACGTTTTGTGGGATTATTGACGGTCTCTCAAAGTCGGCTTAGATCCACCTCGGAATAAACAGGGGTCAATAATACGGTACTGCCATAATCGTATAAGATTTTCTAACTCTTGCTTACATAGTTAAAAGCTGACCACTTCAATGCAACTCTCGTCAAGCTGCAAATTCAACCTGCATATGCTACTAGCATTAAAGAAAGGGCTATTAAATATAATCCCCAAACCAATAGGAGGCATATGTATAGTTCGTTGAGGATAAAAGTAATGCCCCGATATATGAAAAAATACTTATTATGAAAGTACCTACCCTATATCAATTTCATGCCTACCTCATACATACCTAAGGTACACCTATATATAGGGACCTATATAAATAGGGCGCAATACTCGAAAGGTGCAGGAAGCGAAAGTAGTGTAGCATCACGAAATCCGTCTAAATAGGTAGCTTTCCCAAATCGGGAATGAGTCATACCGGGGCTGAGATTTATCGTTCTATAAGTATGAGAGCTTACCCCGAGTATCAATTATGGTACTGCTTACAGCAGCTATACACCTTTATTCACCACCGCCATTAGTTTGCTGACTCAATTATACCAAGATCTGGCAATTACATTGAATTAAACTCTTCGCTGAAATATTTTACTATTAATATTATTACTAAAACCCGACCCAAAGGGCTTATATTTCACCATGGCAGACTCTACCTCACAGTCGACGCCCGCACCGATAGTAACAGCAGACAAATGCATCATACGTGCATATGTGCCTAGTGACGCCGAGGGCGCCGTGGCGGCAGCCAACTTCCCAGAGCTTGTGCAATACATGCGCAATACCTTTCCTCATCCCTACACACTAGACAACGCCAATTACTGGATCAACCTTTCCCTAAACAGCAACCCCATGGTAAATTTCGGCATCTTCACGCCTGAAGGCACCTTCGCCGGCGGTATCGGGCTTATTCCCGGCCAGGACATCGAGTATCGTACGTGGGAGATCGGGTACTGGGTCGGAAAGGACTTCTGGGGGAAGGGTATCGCAACAAGTGCTCTCAAGAGTTTTTCCGCCTGGGCCTTCGAGCAATTCCCGGAGCTGATCAGGATTGAGGCTGGTGTGTTTATAGAGAACGTCGCGAGTCAGAAAGTTTTGGAGAAGGCTGGTTATACAAAAGAAGGAATAAGAAGGCAGGCCGTCTGCAAGAAGGGAAAGATTATGGACCAAGTGACGTATAGTTTACTTCGGGATGACCTGAGGGATTTATATGAGCTTCAGTAGGATATCTTAGAGTATGGTTGTTTTATATTTTATATTGCCTATCTGCTGTATCGGGGATGCAGGTGTAAGGCGAGCATGAAAAATAGGGGCTGGGATCCAAAGCTGCTGATAGGGTGTTTCCGACACCAATCCATAGATCATTCTCTATAAGCATATTCTCCTGTGAATATAGGTAATCAAACTCATACCATGCTTCGACCTCGCCTTGGTTATATGCCAAAGGTACCTTTACAACCTTTCTGATCCTAAGGCATTCCATTTATGAATTATAGTTATCATTCATACTAATGTCTGCGAGCATACTGGTTTATCTATTAATACTATAAAAAACTCCACCAAGGTTTAGGCATTTGTTTAGAGGGGGAGGAAATTGCTAACTGATAGGTTGAACTAGGGTTGAGACTCCTAGATTGAAAACTCCTCCTAATGGAACTTACGGGAAATATGCCTTTTCAAATAAAATTTAACACCAATGACAGAATTTACCTCTTCTCCATGTATCAGTACAGTCCTTCAGTGTACCAGACCTAATATGTGAATTGTAATACACCTACCCTATAACCTAATAAATAACGGCCTTGGTTTCTTGAAAGTCTGAGGTCGAAGAGGAACTTTTTAGTTTTTAATCGTATAACTAGAAACTTTTATAAGGGGAGGTCGGTAGTCGTGATCGGTCAACCAGCGTTAAGTTCTCAAACGAATCTCTTACTCCGAAGTCGCTAGGTAAAGGATGAAACCAATTCAATTGGATAGTAGCTCCAACCGATATATACGATAACTAATAATCGTCATAATCATCATAGCCGCCACCGTCATCATAGTTGTCGTAATCATCATGGTCGTCGTAGTTGTCGTAATCATCGTAACTGTCGTAGTCATCGTAGCTATCATGGTCATAATAATCATTATGGTTGTCATGGTCATCGTTGTCACTTTGAGTATCATACTCTTCACGATTATCTTGCTCGCTGTAGCCCCTATGCTCATAATATCCGTGGTCTTGGAACTCGCCCGAAGGGTTGGGATAGTTTGGAAGGGATCCACCTTCGAACGGAGAATCCGATTTAGCTTCTAATGAACCCAAGTCTAGGGAATCTAGCTCAGTAACTAAGCGGTCTGACTCTGAGATCTGAGACGTGTTGCTGTATGGCATTCCTTGAAAGGGGGCAGTTATTTTTAAATATTCGCCATGATAATGGGCGATCGATCTTGTTAATGTACCATAAACGTTGCATAGCGAATGTTCTACACGATTAGTCTCTGTGCCGTATTCCAGCGTGTGGAAGTCATTTCGGGTTTGAGAATTTCCGAAGGCATTCGAAGCGGTTCTATATGTTATGCTAGCTTCCGTGAACTCGGCTCGGAAAATCCCAAAGTCTTCGAATCCAAATCTCTGCAGATTATCCATAGCTTCCCATAAAGCGTCTTGATAACGGGGATCTACGAAGGGGTCATCTAGACCGGTCTGCGTACCTCGGAACTGTGAGCATCTGGGGGACGCAGCATAGTTTCTCGGCTCCAGCCCATTATTACCGGAACTGCGGCCCGGGCGTGGGGTTCGACCTTGATGTAGACGTCCTTGTATCCCAGAATTGTAATTTTGATTCAGGTTAATATGGACAGAAGGCCGAGAGAGATTTTGGTTAGATGCTTGGTTGGAGGGAGTCCGTTGGGGCCAGGAATAACCTTCTTGGTGCTGGAGATCCTGGGATATAGGTAACTGTCTAGCCTTTGCTAGAAGAACACTCTCCCTGTCATCAAGCTGTTTGAAGAACGCTCCAAGGGTAGTGCTATCTGTAGGCTTTGATAGCAGTGACTGGATCTCAACGTCGAAAGCCTCGAAGGCATATAGCAACTGGATCTTGGGCGGTAAGTCACATGCTCTTGCGTCTTGAATGATACCATAAACAAAAGGCCTCAGTCCCTTGCCTCTCTTCAGGTCAAGTAGGGTAAATAAGGCTGATTTTAGACTACGCAATGCCTCGCTAGGTGACTTGCGAAACGCCTTGATGAGTTGTTGGATAACCCAATCCAAACTCAACTTCTGGAGAGCATCTTTCTCCATATCCGTGAGTTCCGTAGAGTACCACGCCAAAGCTGTCTCCTGAAGACAATTTGCCCATACTGCCTTGACACTGCCTTCTCCATGGGAAACAGCGAGCTGTCTTAGGCGATCGGTGAATGGAAAGATGTTTGTGAAGACTGTGTACTTTCCTACGGCGATGATACCAGTATTATGAGGGTCCTTGAGGGAAGGGTTGAAGTATCCGACTGCCTCAGGCTTGAGAGTATTATTTTTAGGCTTTGCATTGGGTGTATTGGGCTTCAGATTTCGGGATTGAGATCCATGATTTTGAGTCCATTTGCTATCCATTCTATATGCTGAAGTTATTGCAAACGGGCGTTTTGCGTCAATCTGTCTTACAGCCTCTAATCTGCAAATATCGTTACCTCTTTGCTCCGTATCTCAACCAAAAGCTTTGCAAGATGAGCCTTAATAAAGAGTTCAAAGGGACTCTACATGGCCCGTATCGGCTTCAAAGCTTTAACAGCTTAGTAATGGAAAAAGCCGACAAGGGGGTTTGGTGATGAAGTAGTCCTGGTTATGTAGGTAGGAGTTGTGTTGCCTTAGAGGTAGGTACCTAGGGTTAGTACCTTGCAATATCCTGAACAGATGTGAAAATGGCCAAAGGGTCTGAAAGAAAGGACAAGCCTACCCAGGTAGGTAGGTAGTGACGATGAAAGTGTATCTAGAAGGTTTTAATAACGTAGCTCTTAAACACCCTCTTGCCTATTGCCCTAGTGAAATGTACTGAGGCCTTAGGTAGGAACTACAGCGCGCAACCTCGATCGACACATCTACTTTCGTACTGAAGTAATCAAAGAAGAAAGTACGTAGGTAATAAGCTTACTACAAGTATCGAAGTATTATAAATCTCAATTTCGTCATCAATTCCAATAACATGTGATATAAGGTTGGAAGCTTTTGGCAAGTTTCAAGAGCACATGGACTAAAGGATTAAGGGGTAAACAAGTTGCCTTGTATTATATGATGAATTAGCTTGAAACTTTCTTACTTACCTTTGCCTACTTCTCGCTATGCTTCTAGAACTCCCTACGTATATCTGGTAGATGCGGGGTCTTATGTGCGCCGATCGAGTTGACGATTTAATTCTATTTTCTTCAAAAACAAAAGGTGATAATAAATCATCTATGGGTGCTATCAATATTGTAGATAAAAATATAACACTAAATACTCAATTCAGGTATATCAGATATTGGTCGATATTCCTACCGTAATCATACCATCTTATCGTTAACTCGTAAATGCTCCTCCACTAAACTATCCGCATCATTCCATTCAAAGCCGAAGTTCCAGATGCGGCTCGGCGTCATCTTGCCGTACCCCCTAAAAACCCCGTGGCTGCTCCGGCCGCCGACGTGCTGCATTACAACCGGTGTCAGCGCCCAACGTAACATCCCGGTTTCATCAGCGTAGTCTTCTATAAAACTATCTGTAGGTACCTCTGACCACCTATTATTACGGAAAAGGGGTAACAATTCATTCGACACCGTTGCAGCAGGGAAAACAAGCCCCTGACCGCAGCACACGTGTTTAGGCATTAGATGCACCCCGGGCGGCTGCGGTAGTACGCAGTTGCCGCCCGCAGCGAAAAAGAGGACCAGGAGTAGGGGTGTGAAAACTAACAAGATGAGAAGGAATACGTAATATGTTAGGTACAGGCGCGTTGCAGGAATATAACACCGTGGTAGGATGAAGAGGCTCAGGACAGCAGTCACAATAACTACAGACCAGCCTAGGTATATCGGCCAAGACTCTGCGTTCCATCCAAGAAGACCTTCGTAGTAAAAGAGCCGTAAGTATAGGACTGTTCAGTCGATTAGTGTGTTGCATGCCGTGCGGTTATATAAAACATATCGGTAGACCTACAGTCTATATGTCCCATTTTCCAAGACTTAGTGGATGCCTGATCTAATGCCTGCATCGTCCTGTGTCTCCATCCGTCCAAAAACACCACATCATCCTCAACAAGCAAGATATAGGGTGCCCCTGTCCTCATACACTCTTCCATAGCGATCGAATAGTCGAACTTTGACTTAGTTCCATGAGTTTTATCCCGCTCCATAAATTCAGCAAGAGTGAACCTTTCCGAATCGTCACTATACGAAGGAAGCCTATCAGCCATGGCAATAAGCCATGACTGGTCGTAATCTGGATGGCTTTTCTGGTCGATATGGGCAAGAAACACGACGAAGTGGATACTTTCTCGTTCCTTTGCACTTAACCCGTGTTGTAGAGAGCCCAATGTAGACTTGAGGTACGATATCCCGTCTCTTCGTACCGAAGGGATGCCTATGCACAATTCAGGCGATGTCGTCGTCCTATTGCTTTTTGCTCGTTTAATCGTTCCTGCCAGATCGGCATATTGTATGGCTTGTTGAATTCGATGCGTTGAATATGGAGCAGCATGTGCTCGTCCATTTTGGAAGAATACAGATGTTGGATCTTTCCAACATGCCGATCGAAGATATCCTACCAGCAAAGAGTACTACCACACAAAGTGTTAACTATCATAAAATCAAACACCCATATTTGATAGGTAGAATTCAAATACTGATTATCAATGTGAAGATTAACAGAAGTAGGCAATACTCACCATAAACATAAATCCCATAATCAACCTAATATTGGAGTGCATATTGTATTTAAGATAAAGAAAACAACTTTATAAATAAAACCCAGAGCTCCAGAAGTGCTATCGAGTGACAATGCGATATATATTATAAGAACACACTTGAGACGCACTCGTTCCAGAGACATAATCTTTCTGTCACTAAACATGGAACCTCTATATTACCTACCTCCATGATACCGAATCTGATCTGGGTGGGAGTCTGACAGAAGAATCGTCTTGACTTCGCCCCAACTACTTACCTCGTATAAGAAATCTTCGCATATGGTTGGCTATTACTCCTAGGAAAAGTAACTCAAGGATCCTTCGGATACTACCACAGGCGTGGCTGTTCTTACTTTAATTCACTAATCTGGCATCGCGAAGTAAGGAAACTCCGTATACACTAAAGAATAAGATATAATCTCATTAGAGACATTGTAGTATTATATACCTAGGCTACCTGATCGTACCATCCGAGTAGCGATGTACGATAACTTGGCGATCATCACCCCCTTGCGATATAGCTAGTATAGCAACCGATTGTCTCAGCCACCCAACGTAAAGCAGCCGACGACCACTAAGCTGACGCCAGCGCTCCAGGGGTAAAGGCTAACTCATAAGCATAAGACTATATGCCGAAGTCATTTCAATGTTGTTTACAAAGACACTTTGTAACCAATTGTTAATTATAAATTAACCATACTTGGCTTTCATTGTCCACGCCCACCAAACGTCTACTATATCAATTCTGTGTATCAATGTATCCCTAGTTAATCAACACTCGTGTTTATACTTTCGCGCTCAACACCACCATGACAAGTTGCTTCCCTACCTACCTACCTAGGTAGGCACCTATTTTTTAAATATCATGGCGCCTCACGACTGCCTCTCTTCTAGGATGAGACTCCCTAATAGGTGCTGTACAGACTTTATGTAGGATTCGAGGCTTTTATCTATACCAATTAAAAGGGGGGCGGGGGTGAAGTTATTTAATACACTTAGAGATATGTTTGACCACTTAACAGTCTCGATTAGTTTCATAAGAAATGGTGCTTCGTTCAGATAAATTTAGATGACATAAAAGGGTGTTCTCTGCATTTTGAAAATATATTAAGGAATCCATCATCTATCAAATAAACTACGAATTACCCCTTATAATAATTGTGCCCGCTAAACCAAACCGATGAAGAAATCGGACCCTATCTTAGCTTCACTTGAAAATTCTTAGTCAATCTTTACCCATAGCACTTTTTTTATTTGAAAATGGGTATTATTTCTCCATATCCAATTTACTTGTTTCCGATGGCTCCCACTTGCTATTGCCTAAAGCGCCGATTATTAATCCATCCTCTTGATGTATATTGCCAGCAATGTAATAAGATTAAGCATCTCGACGGTATCTGGGCCCATGCCGGAATTCATATACGAATTAATTGGCCGTCAGAATACATTACCAAGAGGATCCAATCAAACTCTCCAGGTGAAATAAGCATTTCAATCCTTGTGCTTAAAGTCTCGTCTCTGTCATATTTAGTGTTAGTTTATTACTTTGGTTGGCACGGTCATGAGGATGTCACTTACCAGCCAATGCTTGCCACATGAATTGGGTGTCCGGATACCCATCAGGTGCAGGTCGACTACCCCTGGGCCTAGAATTTATGTCTTTCTCCTGTAACTTCGACCCAACCTTCTCTATGGCTTTGCCCATCTTACTGAGGAGCGAACTGCTCCTAGCCAGAGTTTTAACGTCGGAGGATGACTTGCGATCTTGGCGTAGATGAAAGTTAGTAAAATAAGGTCATGCAAAGAAGTTAATGGAGTAAGTCGGAGTAAAAGGTAACTAACAATCATTACTGCCTTGGTATTTCTCTTCTGAGGCATCCTCCTTTCTACTTAGCATATCTACTAAAGTTTTTTCCGACGCAATAGACAATCGCCTTGGGCTTGTCGTATTGGTGGGGGATGATAGTTCGGACTGCGGTGACATTTTGGCAGGTTCTAGGCTCCGTACGTGTACAATTATTGAAGGACTTGGTTTTAATTGATGTTTGCAATACGATAGTTGGTGTTGTATAGAAATTCACAAAACTGAGAGTGAGCCGCATACAATTTCATTAATGATGTTACCTTCCTCGACGGGAGAATCCATTTTTTAATACATTTCACAGACATTCCCTATACGCTTTATAATCCACTAAATCCCCTTCGCATGGTGTGAGTTACTCATATTTGATATTTTGATTCGGTTCTCTAGGCCGAGATAGCGTACCGAGAGCCGAGCTCATTCGTAAGACATCGTGCAAATCTGGTTTGACGAATCAGAATCTTGATAGTGGGGATAAGCAAGCGGATTGGGCTTCTTTCTTCAACGTCAAGCCGAAGCCGAAGCCGAAGCCGACCTAGCATTCGCTGCCTGTCCTGACAAACCCTATCTTAGACTTCGAACCAGTTCATGTCGGAGTCAAAGCTCTTGATTCACGGCTTCGGATTGCTTTCATAGAATCTCCTTGTAGTTACATGTCTTTCTTAATCTCGCCCTCTCGATGAACGACCATACGAACCCGCCACTGCTTCTACGCCGTAACGGTCGGCCTCAAGCATGTGATGTAAGTAATATATGTGTTTTGTCTCCAGATACATTTATTAATGAAGTGTGCAAGCCCTGCCGTAAACGTAAGCTGGCCTGCGACCATACACGGCCTGTTTGCAGTCGTTGTAAGAAGAGAAAGCAGGATGACGAATGCGTGTATCTCTTGTCGGGTTCAAGGATATTGACATCCAAGAGCCCACTACCATCTTCAGCACCTTCTACACCGCTCCTATCACCGAGGCGCGGAAGTCTTCAGCATTCTCAAAATAGCTCGACTTTGACACCTGACGCTCAGGTTTCAGGCCTCACTCGGCCTGGCTACCTTGGCCCAACCAGTTACTGTAATATCTATGAAGATACCGAAAATAGCCTTTCACTCCTTCAAGGAGCGCACAGAGTCGCTACCCAATCTGAGAGCGTCGCTCGCCATACTCCTATTGAAGGCTCCCAGACCAATATTTCTGCCAGAGTTCGTGATATGGCACTTTCAGTGCTACGTAATATACCCGATCCCATCCAGGGGGGTACCCTGCGCTTCAATCCCGGGAGTGACGGCTGGATACGTAGTATTGCAGAGCCAGTGGTCAAGTCATTATATGAGACTTTCGGTGATTATTTCAGCACGGGAAACCGACCGACTGCTAAATTGGAGGAACTCGCTCGGATTATCTGTGCCAATACTTTGAAGCCGTTTTCAGACGACGAATCTGACCCGGACAAATGGTTCGGCCAATTCTTGGGGAAGAACATACGCTGGGAGTTAATAGGAATACTCTCCATATTTTGGGAGTTCGTTCCTGGTTCAGACGTAGACTTCTGGAAAGGGAAGCGTTCCGCGGAGTTTGACCGTGGATTTCGCATAGCAAGGGAGAACATGCATCTGAGCCTCGATTTATGTAAAGAATTGTCTGCCGGAAACTCTATGATGCTCTGTTTAAGTCAGAGATGTACCATTGTGGATTCTAGTACGTGCCTACTGATTGAAAGTTCCTGTTCCCCAGAAGATACCAAACCTTCTAAGCCACGTACTAAAATTAGTAATTATTAATTTTTATCATCAGTGCTTGTAGGCGATGCTGGTAAGTGGCCTATGTCTCTGATTACTATACCAATTACTCGTATATCATGTCGAAATACTGGGATCACCCATTGCTAACCATTAACGTGCCTAAGATTTGCTTGTATGGAGGACTCACGCGGAGACGATTTCATTGCTTACTTTCCTCGGGTTTCACGCCGTAGAAGAAAAAGACCGACATCAAACATCCTTATCGACCGAGATCAAGAAGAGGATTTTTCATAATACGTTCTCTATAGCCATGGACGTTGTCTCTTTTACCGGGAGACCTCCATTAATTAGTTCTCGGTACTCGTCGACGCCTCTTCCGCTCGATATTAGTAACGAAGATTTATTGTCTGACCATGATACTTTCATGAAAGCTATTTCACGTCTGGACGAAGAAGGTTGGAATACCGACGGGGAGATATATCCTTCTACTCATATTCGCGCCCGAGCAATCATCGCATTAATCCGCGAAGAAATATTCGAAATTGCTCTCGGCCATAGACAAAATACGCTTCGGAACCCATTTTCTGTTGAGACTTTGCTGCAAGTACCTACCTAAGCACCCATTGATGTGTTCTCAGTCTGGTATTAACTAAGATGAGTAGTCAACTTCGATCTCGCGAGCTTTCGGCAGTTGCAGCATTCCCTTCATGCTTGCACTTCGATCCTCTTGAAATTGATAACCTAGAGGTTCCCATAAACCACCTATCTGTGAGGTTATTTATAGAGCAAGAGCATCTACAGAATATGTTTTTTATTGAAAGACTCCTGCTTCGATTCGGTCATCAAGACAAGGGCGATTTATTGAAAGTCAGCTATGACTTAGTTACTCAGACTTTACCTTGGTATGTTCAGAAACCTACTACGCTTAGGCCTTACCTCGTAACTATTAATCCAAGACTAACAACACCACAGTACGTCGTGACCTCCCTCACCCACCTTTTTTCCCCTGTATCATGTTATATTAGACTGAAATGGAATAATTTCCCTCGTGTATTTGCCGCGGATATTAACGCAGAACAGATTATCTACATTTAGATAGGCTGCCATCTTTCAGGAACGGCTGTGAATGGCTTGTAAGTCACTATATGAACAATATCTTATTACCGTTTTCTGACGAGGATATTAAAGGTCATGGCTTATGCTGTTCCTGCAGGCGGTATACTCTGTTTAGAACTTCTAAAACCCACCCTCCATTTGAGGCCCCATAGCGACTCTAGAATCACTCGCTCTAACATCATCCAGAAGTTGAGTCTCCTTGTCGCATTTCTCAACTGGGTCAGTCCGTCAGCACCGAACGGATATTTATGCAACGACGCTAAATCAGTAATACAACGGGTTCTGGACCAGACGTTAAATACTGCATCGAGCATATATGAACCTCCCGCGGTATTTCAATGGGATTCACCAACACAGTTAGACTTCAATTTTGACCTCCTCGATACGTTCGACTGGATTCGCCCGGATTTCCCTTCAAGTCAGCAGTCAAATCAATAAGACATTCGGTATTCATAGTCTTACAATTTAGAAGATGCTTAGAAAAAAGCTGGGTACTTTTCATGCCATATATTTAATAGACAATAGGTAGACGATAACTAGATGATCTATGAATTAGCTTCAGGGTCGTGCGTTGTAAAGTGCTACCTCCCTATCGATAGAAAAGCCAAGACGGCATATTTTGTACCCACTTACACGAATTGAATGTAACCATCGTTAGTGTACGTAGACCCCTGAATGCGTTTAATTACACCTTGCTTTGTATTGTACAATACAATACGATCAGTTCCCTGCAGTTTATGGTGTTACTTTTGATTCCTAGGCTTACAATAGCGCCTAAACCTGCCAACCTGCCAACCTGCCAACCTGCCAACCTACCTCCTAACTTGGGCGACTTAACCTAGAGATTTAATGTAACGAAACACTGAACACAAAAGGAGCGAACCGGATGCACGATTACGGCGAACGAAATCTTCAATTAATGATATTCTACTACATTGTACCATCGTTAGCACCTAAAGGCCATCAGTAGCCGCCAACCTTCCTTATTGTATGTAGCGTTCCTAGCTGGCCTAGCATCTAATATGCAGGAACAAGCACGAAAGATTCGCCAATGCATGGGGCATAATAAACCGCACAACTTACAGATCTGGTTATGATGGGACCAGCTTCTTATTGCTTATCGACCTATCCAATGGCGTTTATCCCTACATACATAGTAGGTACGAACCTGCAAACCCCTGATAGTATATATGTATTGCTTGTAAAGTTGCATGGGTATCTACACCGCGTTCGTCTTCTCATTGATGAACCCTCTCGCAGGATTCGATACCCCGCGTTCCGAGATAATGGAGGCAAGACGTGCCGCACGGTTCGTAGACATTACTCGATGTAACGGTGGGGACGAAGATTAGGACAGGACGTATGCTCCGGTTACTAACAAGGCCTCGCTGCAGTTTGCATGATGCAGTGACATATTGGCGTATCCGGGAGCTCACCGGGACGCCAGGGATGCCAGGGATGGAAGGTTATTTCCACTCAGACGGCACGCGAGCTGGTCACAACCACACTACGACCACAGGGCAACTATAGGGCAGGTCCAAGACATGTTTGTCCCGCTCCTCCTTACCACTTAGAGACAATCTGACGTGTTTATCTTATCATATCGAACGAATTCTTGTCTCCGGATTGTTTATCTGGACCGCAAAGCCGTCGTCAGGTGCATCGTTATCTGCCCTGGAATGCATTATCAACTAGGGATAATAATACATAAAGGACATACTATGTAAAGGGACATATCACACTCGTTTACACCCTTTTCCTCTATCTTGCTCTTAGCAGCAAGAAGCTCTAGTCGCCATGCCTTCGTTTGGCTTGCGCTCCTATTCAATTGCTTTTATTGTCTTGGCGACGGCCCTGGGGAATGATGCTGCCGCTATAGATCCTCTTTCGTATGTTGATCAATTAATCGGAAGTCGAAATGGAGGAAATATCTTTCCGGGCGCCACACTTCCTTACGGTATGGCCAAAGCTGTTGCCGACACTACCAGTGGAAGTAATCAAGGAGGCTTCACTCTCGATGGGACTCCAATCTCTGGCTTCTCTGCCCTACACGACTCGGGAACTGGAGGCTCGCCGTCCTTAGGAAATTTCCCGCTCTTCCCGTATGCGAGCTGCCCTGATGATGATATTAATCGATGCGATTTTCCCAAGAAAACCCGGGCCAACTATGGCCAATTTGACGAAAGTAGCGTTGTGGCGCGTCCGGGGTATTTTGAAGTTACGCTGAACTCCGGCGTTAAAGCTGCTATGACCGCCAGTAAACATGCTGCGCTGTTTCAATTTACCTTCCCTGCATCAGATGGGAATGCCTCTCATCCCCTCATTTTACAGGACCTGACAGACCTTTCGGACTCGCGTCAAGATAACGGCACCGTCTCCGTCGATGAGAAAACCGGAAGAATCACCGGGAACGCCCGTTTCCAGTCAAGTTTCAGCCAGGGAAAATAGTAAGTGCATTCGAAATTATTCATCACATTCTTTACAATTCTTTCAGGGTTTCTCAAATAATGTAGATAAGTACTAATTTCGGGTACGATAGTGTGCCTTACTTTTGCACCGACTTTTCGGGTCCTAAAATATTCGACAATGGCATTTTTGTGAACAGTAGAGCTACTGCAGATGTCAAAAACTTGACTATCTCTAGATCAATTAATGGGTATCCTCTTCCTGGAGGAGCTTTTGTTCGATTTGAGTCTACCGATACCCCTGTGCTTGCCCGCGTGGGTCTGAGTTTTATAAGCTCTGAACAAGCGTGCTCAAATGCCGAAGCCGAAATTCCAGACTATGATTTTGATGGGCTTGAACAGGTTGCTGCCGATGCCTGGAGGCAGAAGCTCAGCCCGATCACGATCACGCCTGGCGAGGTAGATGAGAATCAGATCAAGAACTTCTACAGCGGTATATACCGCACAATGGTAAACCCCCAGAACTATACGGGAGAGAACCCTATATTCGAAACAGGGGAACCATATTTTGATTCATTCTATTGGTAAGTTGACATATCGTCTATATATAGATAGCGCAGCCACTAACTCAGCAAAGCCTCTGGGATAGTTTTCGAAGCCAAATCCCGTTTCTCACCCTTATAGATCCAGATGCGGTAGCCGAGATGATCCGCTCTCTGATTGATACATATCGATACGAGGGTTGGTTGCCAGACTGCCGTATGACATTCTCCAAGGGCTATACACAGGTCAGAACCTTTCGGCTTCTAAAGACGGACTAAGCTAATACTTAGTTCTTAGGGTGGCTCAAATGCCGATGTAGTCTTGGCGGATGGATATCTAAAAGGAATTACAGCTGGTATTGATGTAAGTACCTAACCCTGTTGATTACACGTTTGAACCATTTAATAACTCGCTATTGTTGGATAGTGGGACGTGGGTTATGAAGCTGTCATAAAAGACGCCGAGGTTGAACCATTCGATTGGTCTAGCAATGGACGCGGCGGTCTTGAGAGCTGGAAACGTCTCGGATATATTATAAGTCTATCCTATTCCTAACATGTTATCGCTCTAAGCTAACCCTGACTACCCCGTGCAAGACCTAGATTGGCAAGGCTTTGGAACTATGACTAGGTCTATTTCCCGTACTCTCGAGTACAGTTATAATGATTTTGTCATCGCACAGATGTCTCAACTGAGAAACAATAGTGCCGACACAGAAAAATACCTGCAATCGAGCGAGAATTGGAAAAACCTATACAAAGAAGATCAGATATCGAAGTTCGCCAACGGTCAGGATACAGGATTCAAAGGTTTCTACGCCCCGAAATACCTGAATGGTTCTTGGGGTGAGCAGGACCCTTTGCTATGTAGCAATATCGACAACTCCGGCACTGCTTGTTCGCTCCAAAATACAGCTCACGAAACCTTTGAGAGCAGCATCTGGGAGTACGGCTTTTTCGTGCCACATAACCAAGGCGACTTGATCACTCTCTATGGAGGACCATCTGAATTTGTTCGCCGCCTTGATTTCCTGCATGATCAGAACATAACCTACATTGGCAATGAGCCTGCCTTCCTTACTGTCTTCCAATACCACTATGCTGGTCGGCCTGCTTTATCGGCAAAGCGTGCACACTTTTACATACCTCGGTTCTTTGACACTACCCCTGAAGGTCTCCCAGGGAACGACGACAGTGGTGCAATGGGATCATTTGTGGCTTTCTCCATGATGGGCTTGTTCCCAAACCCCGGGCAAGACGTATATCTAATAATTCCTCCATTCTTCGAGAGTGTCAATATTACACACCCACAGACCGGCAAAACCGCAACTATCCGCAACGTCAACTTCGATCCCTCTTATGAGAGCATCTATATTCAAAGCGCGACCCTTGATGGCGAACCGTACACGAAAAACTGGATTGATCACAGTTTCTTCACAGAAGGCAAAGAACTTGTTCTTACCCTAGGAAGGAACGAAAGCTCCTGGGGTACAGCTGTCAAGGACTTACCGCCATCCTTAGGGGAGTATACTGGGTTCAACGAGACATTGTCAAAAAGAAGAGCCGCGCCTAACATAGGAACAAGGTACAGAGCAGGATTTGGTCAAGGTGGGCCTAGACTCAACTAATAGACGGTTTGGACTCAGTATTATGATAAGAACTGTATACATACAATATTATCACGAGTAATAATAATTGATGAATACCATATACGAGTATTTGGATTTGTATGCACGACATGTACCTGTATCAGATACGGGATATGATTATCTAAAAGGGCTTCATAGGTAGAATAAGCGTTGAACTTTCTACTTAGTATCATCATAGAGCTACAAAATTAGAAAAGGGGTAATTGAGCGGGTAAGTTGCTATAGGTCTATTAGGAATGATTCCATTTTCTTAGAACCCTAATTTACAAAACCCCTATCAAATATTAGAGTATCAACCCACAATTACATAATAGATACCTATATATCTAATATCATGTTACATTAGGATCGTCAAAATCATACAACCGGAAATAGTTAGATTAGCCATAAAAATAACCAACCCTATTTATAACACTGAAAGTTAACAGAGAGCTTCATAGGCCGCGTGATATAACCATCAAAGGATTAGAAAAATCAACGAGTAATGTATATCTTCCTAGAATGTGGTAAGACTATTTTTTCTTTTCCCTTTCCCTTCCTCCTTTTTCCATTTCGTGGATAATAACTTAGGTAGGTAGGTACCTAGGTAGGTATGCTATAGTATTATTGGGAATAGATAAGGGATACCTTATTGTATCAGATAGATCAATCGTTAATAATATCACCTTGGCAAACGTTATCATGAATGCCGAAAAACTCCGAGTGTTCCTATTAGTTTGAAAAATGACGTTCGTTTATGCTCAATCGAATTCTCTTGGCGTCACCTGCCTTAAGTTGCAGTAGTAGTGCTGTAAATACTGGTCTAAATCCAACTCTACCGAACCGGGGAAGAATAGAGTATGGCGATTTCTTAAGACCTCCATGTTCATAATAAGGATAAATTTGGGTTATGAGCGTGCTGGACGGTTGGAAAGTGCATGAGAGCCTCTCTCTTCCATGGTTCCCGACGCCAGATTGCGCCATACACACCTGCCCAGACGGTTGATAGACATCATGGGCTTGTCGGGGAACCTTGGCCGGGGAAAATGACTTGACTTATGGCGAACGTATTGCGAAATAGCCACCGAGAATTAACGGGATAGTGCTATGACAGCGTCGTTATCATCTTGCATGCACATCCTGTCTCGATCTTGTTGCTGGATCATTATCCGGTGGGGGTACAGCAAGCCTATTACCACGCAAATAGC